ATCCCCTCCCCCATTCGAACCCCGTATGCACTGGGGTTCGCTCGATCAATACCTCTGAAACCATTCACACCATCCCCGCTTAGGTGCAGGGGAGGGGATCGCTCCCCTCCCCTCTGTCATGGCGGGGTTCGGCGGAGGGGATCGTTCCCCTGGGGATCCAACTCCCCTCCCCTCCCCAGCGGGGACGTACGTGCATACGGGCCTAAATTTGCTCTCAAATCAACCAAACTTTATTAGTAAATGCTTGTATACTCCTTACAATGCTGACCCTAAGCTGACCCCATGCTAAAGAAAGTTCAAGAGAGTGTCTGCTGAGGCAGGTACCAGACTTACCGACTTCGACCCGGTTCGGTTCACTTATTCGCCATTGGTTAAATCACTGAATTGAACAACAACGAATGGGTGAACCGGATAAGTATGGCACCTACATTACTAGGCTTCTGCACGAATTAATTTGATTTACTTGCGTAGAAGGAAAAACTGAGTACATAATTTCGGCTTTCTCAGTTTTCAATTAATATTCTAAGCAACGGATATCACGCAAACTGCAAAAAACAATAGATCGATAGGGGCAACTTGTGTGTCCCGAATAAAATGGCTTATTACTGGTCCATTACTCCTTTTATTCTTTTCGAGCAAACATAAAAAATTTCCCAAGCAAAAACAGCAAAAAATCAATAAATCGATAGAAGCAGTGGGTGAGTCCCGAACAAAATCGCTTATTAACAAGTGTCCTACCCCTTGCATTACGTATGCTGAATTTGGCTCAGATTCCATTACTCCTTCTATCCTTTTTGAGCGAAGATACGAAAAGTTGTTAAGCCAAATATTACATAATTGATTTATAAGTCATGATGTTCATTGTTGGTGTTGATCTTGGGATCACATACAACAATGTAAGACGTCTCAACGTTTTTTCTTGCAAAGATGTGATTTTCCAAAATTGTGAGCCAAAATTATGCACTTATTGTTAGCTCAAAATCATTTCCTTTCCTAGCGGACTTGTAGCCGCTTCTACTGAAAGCAAATGCTTATTCCCCTACACACACATTGGTCTGCCCCTCTCAACAGTGTAGATGGCAGAGCATGATAAACATTCTGTCTAATGCACGTCAGACTTCGAACTATCTCCAAGTGTTCCTTAGAGACGAATTGCGCAACTTTGGTGCAAGCTTTATTTGCATTACGGACCAGTTGTCTTTTGTCGGGGACATGCCCACCGAAACAAGTTATTCCTTAACCGCTTTTGTATTAGGCATTGTCTTATAGCAGTAATCTTATATATAAAGCTGAATGTCTGTTTGTCTGTATGTCTGTATGTCTGTATGTATGTACGTATGTTCCGAATAGAAAATTCCATTTCTGAACCGATCGGGACCAAACTTGGCACACATACACTTCGGGCCCCGACGGGTGTCATAGGCTACTTTTCGTCATCGATCGATGTCGATTTTATCGATTTTTTTGCGAAGTTTGAGCACGGGGCTGGGGTTTGGCACAGGGGAGTAATCGAGCGTGCTGATCACCCCCGTGGGGGTGATCAGCATGCTCGATTGCACCCCCTGCCAAATTCCAGCCCCCCAAGCTCAAATTTTGCAAAAAAATCGATAAAATCGATAAAAGTAATGCACGGTTTCGAAAGCTAATATTGTATTCGTAATCAGCATGCTCGATTACCCCCCTGTGCCAACTCCCAGCCCCGTAGCTCAAATTTTGCAAAAAATCGATAAAATCGATATCGATCGATACGAAAAGTGGACTGTGACACCCGCCGGGGCCCGAAGTGTGTGTGTGCCAAGTTTGGTTCGGATCGGTTGAGAAATGGAATTTTCTATTCGGAACATACGGCGGAGCCGGGTATGCCAGCTAGTGATAAAATAAAATGGTAATGAAAGGGAAGTACAGAGGTATTTTGTTCTTGTACGGTTTACTCGCCTTTGCTGATGCTTTCTTTGCTCGTCTACGGTCGCATAGCATAATCATTTGCAATCATTAGTTCATCTGCTTTTCTCAATGAATCCTGTTTTTCATTTCCGTTAAAAATGCCAATTACCGTTTTGACGAGATATCGAGTCATAGCGCGCTTCACGCTGTGAACTGCGCGGATTGCGTGCAAAAGGTTATTTTCGTTGTTCTCTTGACCCGTACCGTGCCGTTTACCATCGTCCGCTGCGTATTCAGGAACGGTGGCCGAGCGTTCCATTTTGCATCAATCGTATGCACTATGATTCAGTATTCTCAATTACTCTTCTATCTCGAACCGCGTCGAAGTACGATACAACAATCTAACGATGGCACATGAGCGAGCTTCTCGATAGCACAGGTTCTTCAGTTCTGCTTACAAAGGAGATAGCTAGCACAAGTGCGCACCACTGTCAAACCTCCACCTTGTGTATAGTATCGTCTCGACCTTCGAGAATTTACAATGCAACATTCCTTGATAAGTGTTGAAACGTGCTTTGCTGAAGGTATACAATTATTATTTAGCTACGTAATTCTGGCATCCCAGGAAGTGCTTGCGCGCCTCCATTAAATTATTAGTATACAGTAAAATAATCTCAAAGTCCTGCCTCAAATGCACTTTCGACTGAAATTGGTTACGCGCCGGAGCTCAAAGAAAAGATTGATGTTGATCAAGTGGGCGGGTACGTTGTTGAGAGGCTGACTTACAATTCTGTTGAGGGACCAAGATGTGCGATTAGTGGTCCGTTGACGCAACTGATGAAAGAATGTATAGCAAGTTCCAACTTAATTTAGGCGGAAATTGGACCGGCTGCAGTCCTCGCCGCAGCGACTCCGCCGTTTTGCAGTCTGCGTCTCTTCATCCTAATCTATCTCACTAAGCCAGTGGCGGCGAGGCGCTGCTCCACTTGGGATGTTTCGCCTACTTTGCTTTGGAAAGAACTGTATCTTGTTAGAGTGGCTCCGACGGATTGATGTCAGAAGGAGAGAGCTTATTCTTTGTATATTATAGATGCAGGGCATGTAAGAGATTCATTCTGAATCTAATGTGTAGCCTTTCAAGAAGATCTGTTTCTTTTTTCTATCCGGATGGACCACGACCACTTTTCGCAATCCTTCTCATTACAATGCTATTAGATATTTAAATGGGCGTCAGTAACGTTTCTAAGAACCGTCCTAAACACCCGAAATTATTTTCTGGGCAACCTATTAGAAATAGTGCGAACCTCTGATAGAGGCTAGCGGTTAAAGGCAGTAGATCGGCAAAATGAGACCCGTGACAAAACAAGGTCACAGGGTAGGAGTCCCTACATGGAACCTATCGGCCAAAGTCCGATCTTTCTCTGCCACTTCTAACCCCCGAAATTTCAACGCGGAAGCAGCGCTCATCTCCTGTATTCTCACCATGGGATGCGCGGGGAAAGAGAATACAGGAGATGAGCGCTGCTTCCGCCTTGAAATTTCGTGGGTTAGAAGTGGCAGAGAAAGATCGGACTTTGGCCGATAGGTTCCATATGGGGGCTCCTACCCTGTGACCTTGTTTTGTAATGCACATGGTGCAGCACGCTGCATTAGAGGATCTTTCTGACATTTGCAGGAGCTTTTCCTTTAGTCCATGGTTATTGAGTCAAAGGTCTATCCTAATTTTTAAATAATCTTGTGCCGCCGATATTTGTGAGATATGAGGACAAATCGAACAACAGTTGCAAAGAAGTGCGGCAACGCGAACGACGCGTGCAACGTCGCAACTTTTCTTTGCTTCGATTTCAAAGAGATAAACCGTAGTCTCAATAATGATGAGTACAGTGTGCAACATAGATACTTTTAGATACTATTTGAGACTGAGTTCTTGCTCCTATCTTTCAAGAAAGCACAAAAGCCCCTCTCAAGCGACAAAATTCAAACACTTCAAATTCACTCAGAACTTTGAGTATGGAGGTTATCGGTCATGCTGATTACATATGTAGTCCACAGTCTGCGAAATAAGGTCCCTTTGTTGGCTAACGGCCGAAAGTACACTCTTTTTCGCCGCGCGCGAATTCGCGGTCCGAAACGTGTTAAAATTATCTGGTAAACAAGCAGATTTAGGGGCTTTAATCCAAAGTTTTGAGTATTTAGACTCGCCAAAAGTTACGATGGCATCCCGATCACCTTTAAAGCTTACAGACAAGTCCGCTTTCTTGACCCAGAGTCCCTTTAGATTAGTCCGCCCTACGGATAAGTCCCTTCTTCCATTATAGATACCCTAAAACCTTATCAGATATGTCCAACGATGTCAGGTAAGTCAGGGCTTATCTGCATACAGACTTATTTGATGAAAGGCCCTATGGCCCTATCGCGAGATTTTGGGGTACTAATTCACAGTGCTTGCGAACCTCGTACCCTTGCTCCGCTTGGCCTGTACGTTCAACTCCGCGATGTTGTTCACTCGTGTAATTTGGGTGTGACTCGTAGTTTGTGCTTGCACTTTCCTGTGACCGAGAAAGTTTTTACTTGAAGGACATGAAACAAGATTGATAGTGTAATTTCATGTACTATGATTTCTGAAGTGTTTTTTCGAACTGGTGGAGCTAACAACTTTACAAGGGTGCTCGATTCTGTCCTTTTTCTCATTTGTCAAGATTCGCCTTATGGAAGGAGGGAAATCATAGAGCAGGTGAAGATGAGCTACAGGATATCGAATTTAATATGGGGAAAGAAATTCTTATTTCGGTTTTCTGACTCAGTGGAAATAATTGTGTTGCTGTCTTGCTGCTATTTCTGTGAACTGAAAACGAGAGCGAAAGTCAGCCCCATATTAATAGTGAGAACAGAACACTCATAGATTTTCTTTGAACGATTAACGTTTAACAATGCTTCCTTTCAGATCCTGGCCAAAGTATTATCGTTTGTGGTATTCAGATCTCATGTTTTGCAAGAAAAATTGCTGCAAAAAAGTAAAAATTTCCCAAATAAATGATAGCAAGTTTTCTTTCGCGATCCACCGTCATTGCTGGAATGCATTTGTTGCTTATGTTCAATAGAATGATGACGAGTTTCTGCTAATTGTTTACTAAGTTTCATCAATTCGTTGCAACAACAACAGCCCACACATTTAGAGACGACGCTTCTGGCGTGGTGGACATGGGCAATAGGTGGCATCTGCTCCTGGCTTTCCGTTCTCTCCGCGCTAAAAGTAGTAAAATTATGGACAGAGCGATTTTCTTAGCATAAACAAAGTTCTTACCGGTCCAGGTTGCCCGTTGCGACCACGATTTCCATCCTTTCCGTTGCGTCCTGGGCGACCAGGAGGTCCTGGTTCTCCGTTCTTTCCATCGGGTCCGGGTGGGCCTTGTTCTCCTGGTGGTCCGGGAGGTCCTGGTGGTCCGCGCATGCCTGGCATTCCGGGTGTGTATTGTACTCCTGGTTCTCCAGGTGGTCCAGGTGGGCCGGGACGTCCATTTTGTCCTGGTGGGCCTTGCTCTCCAGCCTCACCAGGATCTCCAATCGGTCCAACGTTGCCTGGTGGTCCGCGTGGTCCAAATGGCCCTGGTGGACCAGCTGGTCCTGGGTCTCCAGCTTCTCCACGTGGTCCAGGAGGACCAGCAGGACAGCTGATGCAACCGCCTGGGATGTTGTGGGTCACAGCGATAGCAAGGCCAGGAGCACCAGGCCGGCCATCTTCGCCATCTCTTCCCGGCTCTCCAGGGGGTCCTTTCGGTCCTTGCGGTCCAGGTGGGCCGGGTGGACAATCCCTTGATTTCTCTCCGCAATTGCATTGTTCTGGGAAACCTGCGGCACGAGGACGACGTCCAAAGAGTGATGCAAATGTGGGCGGAGCTTCGGAAACACCAGTAGGGTTAAGATGCTTAGAAATGATACGATTCCAAGTGTCATCGGATATTGCCTAAAAGCGCAAGAATATCAGGAGAGGTACAGCTCAGGATTATTGCTAGGATACCTTGAACTCGTCCATGCCCACTTGCACCTCCATTTGGAGATCGGTAATCTCTCGAAGCAGAGACACCATGGTGACGAGGGAGGCGATGGTGAAGGCCAAGGTGGCCGCCGAGCCGACGATAACCACGTTACTCATCTTCGACTTGACTTCCACAGTCCGCAAGCGTATTTATACAAACAAGAGCCTAGCCACTCTGTGACTTTCCAAGTGGAACTTCCTTTCATAAAAACTACGAAATGTTCCCGCTTTACGTTAGTTTCGGCCATAATTCACATTCGAGCAGACGGTTTCACAGTTATCCGTATTTTTCTGCCTTCTTGTTACTTGATTGGATTTCAAACAGGTTTGCGTACGCTTCGAAGCGAAGTTGGACAATGTCGTGACTTCTCAATGATAGGTGGAACATTTCAGATCTTATCAAAGTTACACGAAAATCATATGAGTAGTTTGAACTTCACTGTTAAGAATATTCAGTTTTCAAGATCATTGTGCATAACTTTGAAGCGTTTGTTTGCTTCACTAAATTATATAAATTTGTAAAAAACTCAAATGCAATTTCAGTCTGTATTGACTAACGAAAATCAGATCCTCAACAAAGTAGACGATTCACACCTTTGCCAGTCGTCGACATGCTATTAGTTGTGCTTCAAACTGCCTGAACTATTTGTGGAATTCCATTTTTGGCACAAAATCATTCCTAGGGACTCATCCATCGTCTTATGGCGTCACTCTCATGCTTTTTACTAACGTAACGAGCCTTCAAAGTGTTTTCACCGAGCTATATTTGCAAAGTACGTGAAAAACAAGAGCCGTTAAGCAGTTTCACAAGTTGTGTCTTTTGATTCTATTTGTCACTTTAATTTACCAGATCGCCCATCACTTCTGCAAAGAGGTGTTTTTACATGCAAGAATGGCATTGAAAAGTTTTTATGTGCCGTCTTTACCTTATATTTTTTGAGTTGGATGAATTCTTAATGTTAGAAAAATGCAACCAGTAAAATGAGAATCTTTTGAAAACAACAACTAGTGCGTCAAGTTTGACTCGCAGAGGTTTTTGGTAGGTTTACCACTTATGCCTTCTTCTTCTTTTGCACTATAGAGAAGTCTGTTTTACAACCCGCTTAATGTTAGCCATCAATTATAAATACAAATAGCAATCCATTCGAGCTTTCATGTGGGCCGATAAATCACTTCTCAACAAAAGATTAGTTGCAGATTTGAATCAGATATTGAGTTGTTTACGTTTGTTAATTAGCTTTCGGGAACTAATTGCCTTAGGCGGAGCCCCTTCGCAAAGGTGATAATTTACGCAGTCGATCTGAATCTACCTGTTGATAGTCTGTGTTATACACGATTATAGCTAGAGACTTTGCTCGCAGATTCCCTTACATTTGCAAAAAAGAGAGGGAGATTTTTACACAGACACCCACAAAATAAAACAGATTGCCTTACTGCGCTTCACAGAAGCTAGTGTTTCAACACTGTCGCAAAGAATCGTGCTGGCCATCATGGAAGTAGCAGGTAAACTTACCCTGGTCTTGGCACGAAGGTGGCTGTCAGGCTGTAACTCTTTTTGAGGAGAAAAGGAAAGGAGAGGGGGGGGGGTGTCCTAAACACATAGGCCCTGGCCAGACTTCGCTCAAAAGCGCCCAAAAGCGCTCAAAAGCGCTCAAAAGCGCCCAAAAGCGCTCAAAAGCGCTCAAAAGCGCGCAAAAGCGCCCAAACTTTTCTAACCTCTCCTCACTCTTTCTCATCTCTCCTCACACGAGAAAGTGAAGAGACACCGGAGAAATTTGGGCGCTTTTGCGCGCTTTTGGGCGCTTTTGCGCGCTTTTGAGCGCTTTTGGGCGCTTTTATGCGAAGTCTGGCCAGGGCCATGTAGTGCACATACGAGCCATCTCTCAATATTGGCAGGGTGCTCAAGGCGCCATTTTCAAAATCGAGTTCCCTTGCAATAAGGTAGTCATTCGATTACAGCGCACACATTCATAATGGTATGTTCTAAATCTGGTATGTATAGACAAGGGTTAGGAAGAGCAAATCAAAAATGGAGAGAAAAATTGTGTTGACTAGTGAACCAATAATTAGAGGTGCTAGATTGCATCCGCGTGCTGCGGGACCGCACCGCGATTTTCCGCTAACTGATGCTTTTTGAATTGGCGTTACGACTCTTTATATATTAGAACTTGAACCAGCAATTAAAGATGCTAGATTGCATCCGCGCTTCGGGACCGCCACGTGGTTTCCCGCTATTTGCACATTTTTGAATTGCGCTTACGTTTTTTTATATATTAGATTAGATTAGATAGAAGCGTGCAGCAAGCTTTTTTTAGAAGAAATTTCCATTACTGAAAAGTGGGAAATGACTCGTTAGTGCAACAACTGGTTGCAAATTCAATTTGTATATGCGCAATGGAGAATAGGAACATAGTACGAAGTTTCATGATAAATTTAACATGAGGAAGTGCGTGTTCACTTTGTTTTTTCAAGTTAGGGTAGCAGTTGCCACCCTGATTTCATCCTGAAGGTATCAAACTTCTAAAAGTTTATGATTTTACATTTACCCACTTTACACCTAATGCCTAATGTTTACTAATTTTTTGAGCATTGACTGCGGCGAATAAATTTCAGATGTGCGGCGGATAAATTTCAGATGAGAGGATTTTTTTGCCATGTTTTTACTTACAACCAGCTGTGGCAAAGGGGGAAGGGGATAGGAGAAGGAGTCATTTCGTTGTATGACAATTTAACGATGACTGTTGGTAATGCGCGATTACTCCCAATGGAAATTTTGTAAAATTGGGGCTGCTTCGCAGCACGTTAACGCTTTACAAGTTCGAAGCAGAGTTGAAACGAAAGTAAGGACCTAACTACAAATGGAGCTCAAAAACTATATGTTATGCTAAGCTCTGAGCATAGGCTATCCCAGACGAAGGCAGTTGCGCCTGAGGCGAGGCGACACGACAGCGATGAATGGCGAATGATGTACTCACTCGCTTCGCCGATTAGACCACCTACACAAGGACCAGTCTATGACCAGGATTTTTTTCAAGAGTCATAAGTTCTCACTGGAGACCGAAAGAGCCATAAACCATATTTGTTTATGAGATAGGCTAATTAATCAAGCTAAAGCTGGTCGTGGAGAAGTAATACATCAACCTTTGATGAATCGGGAAGTCGGACACACAATGGAGGAATGCTAGCCAAACAACACCAAGCAGATATTTTTTCTGAATATGCGTATCAAGCTTTTAGTTGGAGAAAAGAACGCTTTATTTTAGAATCTCTGGAAATAGGTCTAAAAACTTACACCCGTTTCCCCCTTTTGACATGCAAATTCATAGCTTTATAATCAATGACACAGTAACTTTTCACCCAAGATTATTTTATGAGAGGATAGCTCCACGCCTCTTCACGCAAATTTTAAGTAGAAAGGATTTTCTGTCACCAAAAAATGATACATAGTTATGCCGTTATGAGGCCAGACTTCTAAAAAATCGGTTTTTTGACTTTCTACATTTCGCTCTCAGCCTGTAATGAGCGCACAGACGAGTAAAGTGGTGGTTGAATACAAACAACCTTCGGCTAGATTTCGAAGTACAACGAAAATTGTGATCTGCCCTTTACGAATCTCTGTGACCAAAAATGTAAAAATTTCAGGCATTTACGCTTGAAAGTCAAATTTTGGGCAATTCAGACCGCTCGAATTTGTCCATCTATAGCCGTGCAAATAGTTGGAATTTGTAATCTGTTGTTTGGACCGAATCTACACTTACCATCTGACTTCAATTTTAGAGCGTAATTTTTAGAAAACTTGAGGAAAAAATGTTCAAATTTCTGCCTGCACCATTTCGTTATCGGAAAAACATTTCTTTAACGAACAGAATTAACCATTTAATTTTCCTCGACCACCAAACAACAGTAGAAATGCTGGTGAGTGGTTCTGACGGGCTTGCTTTGGACTGGAATTCTAAGTATGCGTCGTTTTACATTTTCAAAAAGCCTTAAGACCACAAGCCTACTTTACGCACTTTCACTCGCCGTGTTATTTGGCAATATCCGATTGTTCCCAGCTCCTGGTAAGAGGATTGAGAAGGTGTAGAAGCTAAGGTAAAGGTCGTGACATGGGTATAAAACATGACCACCCAAGAGGATGAGGAAAACGCTGCGGTCGAGGGAAGAAAAAACGCTCTTAACCGATAAGTGTCATGTCTTTCACTAAAATATTAAGTTGCCTCATAAGTTAAAACAATTTCGACTTTCGTACGATAAGTCGTACAGTCCTCAATTCTAGTTAGGAAGCAGGGTGCCGTTTGATATTGCAAAGCAAGCTCTATAAGAGAATAAGTAAGAGTCTGCACGAGCTTTAATACATCTCGAGTTAGAATCCGAAATTTTACTCGAAAAATATAAAGGGATTTTTCTTCGTTTCAAAGAAACTTATTGGATCTCCCACTCGCTCACGCATATACATTCCACACAGGACAATCATATATGACGTGGCTGCTTTTGTTCCTGTGCTAGAAACTAAGAAAACCAAAATTTTCAAACTCTTAAAAGAGGGACGCTGTGCTGATCCCACATAGGTAAATGTATACCACAAGTCCACAGTTCCCAGCTTCCTACGAGCTTTCCCCCAAGAAGTATTTTCATAGAGGATTCATCCAAGAAAAGCTAAATCGATTTCTTTCAAATCAAAACGCTTCTAAGAGACCTGAGAATCTACGTCTGTGATACTGAAAAATTTCAGTATGCATTTGCCTACGTGGGAAGAGCACATCATCGCTTTCTAGAACTGAATTTTTCCCTAGGAAAGATACTGCAACGGCATATATGAATGTCCAATATAGAGTATCTGTGCGTGAGCTAATGAGAGGTCCGGTAAGTTTTTCGAACGAAGTTAGAAATCCTTTCTAGTTTTTCCGGCATCCAAAACTTCTTAGCTTTCGGCTTTTTGAGATGTACCTGAAGCTAATGCAAACTCTCACATGTCATCTTATAGAGCTTGCTCTGCTCTATCGAACGGTACCCTGCATGAATTTCACGATTTAATTCAATTCAAAATTGAAAAACTTATGAGACAACCTAATATGTAGTTGCATAACAGATGGACAGGCTTTTGTAAACAATAGCATACCAAATATTAAGTATCAAATGATATCAATTAATCTCAATTAGCTCTGGCCTCATTCTACAGTACCAAGAGGGGATGCCAAAA